AACCCACTTCTTCGGATGAATGGAGTGTTAAAAGTCCAGTTCCAAAAATAAGCAGGGGATGGGGGTGAGGGAAGGACGGGACAAAAATAGTGAATCGGAGTGTTCAAGCTATAGGAAGCTGATAGAGAAGGTGCAAATTATTCTTAAGTAGCCATTGTTTAGTTGGTTAAGTCATTAGGATGTGGAAGATAGTGTGCTAGACAGGTAGGCTGTGTCTACATTGGCCCCTATTCCGTAATAGGGATGCTAATGTAGCACTTTGGAATAGGCAAATCCGCAGGGAATTTAAATATCCCCCGCGGCATTTGCATTAACATGGCTTCCGCTTTTTTCCGGCTTGTAGATAAGCCGGAGAAAAGCGCCAGTCTGGACGCGATCCTCCGGAAAATAAGCTCTTTTCCAGAGGATCTCTTATTCCTACTTGAAAGTAGGAATAAGAGATCCTCCGGAAAAGAGTTTATTTTCCGGAGGATCGCGTCCAGACTGGCGCTTTTCTCCGGCTTATTTGCCTATTCCAAAGTGCTACATTAGCATCCCTATTACGGAATAGGGGCCAATGTAGACACAGCCGTAATGTCTTTATTCATACCTTTTGATGGTTCCCAAACTTAAATGAAGTTAAGTTCCAACACTTCCCAGTATTTGGCTTGTGGTATTGGCCTGAAACAGTGCAGGATCTTTTTTGTAGCACACAGCATGGAACATGAAGAGAAGCACAGGTTACAGAAGAGGTGCCAGGAAATCAGTCTGTGCACTCCTGGTTTGCATGCTGGTTTGCAGCTGAAGTAACTCCATAAATAGTTGTTTTAAGGAGCCAGTTTAGTTTTACACATCTGGAGTCCATTCATGGTATTACCCGGCATACCATACCTGACAGATGGTGGCAATGCTTCCTGAGAAAATAAGAGCCACTAAGGAAATGTGCAGACCAAAGAGTCTGAAGGGAATTCAGCAATTTATAGGGATGGCCAGATTCTACACATATTTAGCAGGAACCTATGAACAGTTAATAGACAATAATGTACTGTGAGATGGCCCAGGGACCACAGAACAGGTATTTGAAAGAAAAAAGAAAATCATAATGTGAGACGCCAGCTCTAAACTGCAGATCAGATAGAATTATCCTTTGGGGTACCTCTAGACAGTGGTGCTATTTCAGAACATTTCCGGTATTCTGAAATAGTGTTTTCTGCATCTTGACAGTGTGCCCATTATTTCAAAATGTCTTTCAAAATAACGGATGTGCTATTCTGACGCCACTGTAAGCCTCACTTTATGAGAATTAAGGGACTTTCGGAATAGCTCTCTATTTCAAAATTAACTCTGAAAATAAGCGGCAGAACGGCTCTTGCGCAAAAGCCCCTTGCACAAAATGGCGGCTCACTAAGTATGCTAATGAGGTACAGCAATATTCATCACGGCACCTCATTTGCATATGCTCTTACGCAAGACTAGCCAGTGTAGACATATCTGTTTTGGATGTGGATTAGGTTGCTTGTAATCCCAAGGAATGTGAGAGAATGGGCTATAGGGGCTGATATGTCCAGTACAGTGGGGGTTTGAGGCACCGACAGGTACTGTGGTTCCCGTTCCAGTACTCTTGTCCTTCACTTTCCATCCCCTATAATGGCATTTATAAGAAACGAATAAGCGTGCCTGCTGATTACAAGATGCCTATAATAATTATTGCTTTCTTTGTGGTTTAGTATTCCCATTCCCATTTCTGAACCACTCTTCCTCACTCAGGTCTTTGATTTCCTGCCTTTGTTTTCATTTTCCCAGGGGATTTCACCAGCTGTGCTGACTACTTGCCTCTTTGGCATTCTTTCCTGTCTTCCTGTCCATTAGTGACTCTCATAGCTCTAACCATTCTATTTTCTCTTTTACACAACTCTCCTGTCTCATTTCTTGTTCTTTTGTTATCTCACCATGTCCAACATTGACCAAACTCTCCTGATTATTGACCAAACTCTCCTGAATGTCAGCCCTCAGAAATTGACCATGTGGCAACTTTGTCTTGCTGTTGTATGCAGTGCTATTGTAGCAGTGTTGATCCCAGGATATTATAAAGAGAAGGCACACGGGGTAATAGCTTTTATTGGATCAATTTTTGTAGGTGAGAGACACTTACACAGAGCTGTTCTGACACCTTGCGTTAGTCTCCCTGGCCTGAAGAAGAGCTCGGTGTAATTTTGCGAGCTTGTTTCTCTTATCAACAGAAATTGGTCCAATGAAAGTTATCACTTTACCCAACTTGTGTGTCTAATATTTTCTCTCTCATTTCAGTCCCTAAAGAGTTTCCAGACTAATTTCCTCTCAATATTTTCTGCCATAGTGGGGTGGTGAAAGCTCACAGACCATTTCAAATATCAGAGCCTTGTAGTTAGAGAAGGAGAGACCCAGAAGGCGATCCTGTTCATATCCCTGTCAATCCTGGATGCCTCCCTGAAGTGTATCTTCAGATGTTTTGTCTAGTTCATTTTAAATGATTTTCATAATGGAACTTCCACCACCTCCTTTGTGAGACCATTCCATTAACGAAAGGGATTAATGTTTGTGGGAAAATGTATAGTCATGCTGTAAGCTACAAGTACAGGACTGCCTGACTATGAGTTTATATTCCATTAATATGGAACAGTGAGGCCCTCAACCACTTTCCAAAATTTGGAGTGGCCCCCCCATCAAAAATTATTGCCTACCCCTGCCCTAGCACCACAGGGAGATGGGAGTGCATGTCTCCAGCTTTCCTAGCCCTGGAGGATGGGGAGACAAGAGCTCAGGGATAGCAGCATTCTGCCCCTAGAATGCCTAAAGTATTTCTCGTTCATGCTCTGATCTCTGGATTGTGGACTTACACTAAAAGGAGCATTCACATCAACGGACTGAGAACCTTCCAAACTTTTCAGACTTCAGAGATTTTAAAAGCCAGCAGTTGATTCACTCGCTGCTTCAAACCTCATAAAAGACCTTTGCAATGAGTACACATTTTTGTTTTCCAGGACTATTTTAATGCTCTCCTCTTTCTTTTCTCTTATAAATAAACCTTTTTGATATTGGATACAGAAGGACTGTCAACTATGTGACTGAAGCTTCAGAGAGGTAGCCGAGTTAGTCTGTAATAGGAAAAAGTTTAAAAACAACAAATAGTCTAAGAGAACCTTAAAGACTAACAAAACATGGAGATGGTATCATGAGCTTTCATGGGCACAACCTGAAGAAGTGGGTTGTGTCCACGAAAGTTCATGATACCATCTACATGTTTTGTTAGTCTTTTAGGTGCTACTAGTCTATTTGTTGTTTTTAAGTGTTTAAGTATGTGACTATTGGGTAAGATCGGAGTTCTACATTGACCTGGCTGTGTGGCTGATCTCTTGGGGCTGGAGGAACCCTTTGTCTAATGCAGTTGTTTTTAAGGACACATTCATAATTAAGTCTGATAACTTGGGCTATGTCTAAACTACATTCCTCTGTCGACAGAGGGATGTAAATTAGGCACTTCGAAAGTGCAAATTAAGCCAGGATTTAAATATCCCATGCTTCATTTGCATAATCACGTAATGACGCTCTTTCGAAAAAGCGCTATTTCGAAATTGAAATTGCGGTCTACACGTGGTTCTTTCAAAAATAGAAGCCTTTTTTGAAAGATCCTGTAAACCTCATTTTTTGAGGAGTACAGGATCTTTCAAAAAAGCCTGCCGTTTTTGAAAGAACCGCATCTAGACTGCAGTTTCAATTTCGAAATAGCACTTTTTTGAAAGAGCGTCATTATGTGATTATGCAAATGAAGCATGGGATATTTAAATCCTGGCTTAATTTGCACTTTCGAAGTGCCTAATTTACATCCCTCTGTCGACAGAGGAATGTAGTTTAGACATAGCCCAAGTTATCAGACTTAATTATGAATGTGTCCTTAAAAACAACTGCATTAGACAAAGGGTTCCTCCAGCCCCAAGAGATCAGCCACACAGCCAGGTCAATGTAGAACTCCGATCTTACCCAATAGTCACATACTTAAACACTTCATTTGCAATTTTGAAGTGCCCAATTTACATCTCTCTGCCTACAGAGGGATGTAGTCTAGACACAGCCTAGGTGGTGAAAGAAGGGCTGGAATAGCTAAAGAGACTGCATTTTTGACTTCTTGTTAAGTGGATGGTGAGACAAAAGTGGATGGTGAGACACTTATTTTGGGGTGGGCCTGCCCCAATTCTCAACAGTTTGTTCTGATTCTGCTAGTCTCAGCTGTTACCATGGAGGCACAGTGACCGTACCCATTATGACGAAAAGCCTTCCCTTGATGACCCTTGAAATCTTATTAGAATAATGGGACCCTTCCTTCCCTTGGGGCTTGATCAACTTAAATCAGTGAGAAGATGCGCCATTGACTTTACTGGAATTTTAATGAGATCCTGCATGTTTGGGACAGTTGAAAGGGTGAACACAGAGTTTATACACCGTGTTTCATTTCAGAATTCAGAGACATTTATTTAACAATGGAGAAACTTTAAGCATTCTACTTTATAATTGAAAGAGAAAAGTAACTTCTATTACCATTAAGCAATAATTATTTTGTTTTCCAATGGAGAATTCAGTAAGATAAACAGCTCACAAATAAATAAGATTCCAGTGCTTCAGGCCAGGCATTTATTGATTCGCAAGGTATTTATCTCTTAGTTCACTCCCAAGTTAAAAAAAAAGAGAAGATAGCAATTATATTAAAAAGTGCTCACTTTTTAATTATTTAAAAGTGCTGTTTCAAACTTTAACAAGATGGTAATTGCTTCAGCAGTTTTTATGGCCCAGTGAAAAGAATTAGCCATGAGGAAGCAAATTGAAATCCTCCCACTCATCTACATAACGTTGGTTTAGTACAGTACATCATTCCAGTTGCATAAGCTGCTTGAAGGAGCTATAGTTTACTTATACACTGTCATGCTAGGGATGTTTCCTTATATCTAGACGGTAATGGGCGCAATGGAAAATCCCAAAATAGAATGTAGAGGTTATATATTTGGATAAAATAGGTCACAGACTTGCCAACTGCATTTGTGCTACAGCCAGAATTTCCATTCTGCAGGAAAATGCTGGTAATTCAAAATTTGTTCTGCAAAACATTAAAGGTAAAAATTTGCCACAAAACAAACTTGTTAAAAATAGTTTTGAGTCAATTCAAATGTTTTATTTTGATAAAATCTACTTTTTAAATTTAGAATTTATAATATCAAATCAAACACATTTTGAATCAAAGTCTCTCCAAATGAAAACCTGGAATTTCCATCCAGAAAGGTCAAAACAAAATAATTTTTTTAAATGTTGTCAAAATTGACACATACTCACAGAAAGCTTGGATTTTTTTTTGACAAAATGGCCTTTTTCAATGGACAGCTCTTCCGTTAATATTTGACCAGCCCTAATAGGAACAATATAACAATATTTATAAGGTTATTTTTAAATGATGGAGAGAAATTGTTTAGAAGTGCCCTGGGGAGGTTTTGCTAGAAGTAAAAGATGAAGCTAAGAAGCAAACAATATTGATTTTGAATTAGGGAATGTGTTACACTGTGGCAGAGTTTGGCGGTAGAGCTAACATCTGAAGCATTGATAACAACTGGGTGACATTCTATGGCCTGTATTATGGTATATATCAAATGAGATGATCATAGTGGCTCTGCAGAATCTACAAATCTATGACACAGGACTGAACAACAAACACAATCCCTCACTGGGAGGTAAATAGGTGTATGAGCTTAATTGGTCTCTTCCATTTCCTACTTCTGTGATAGTAAGTAGGATACTAAGCTACCATGATGCCAATATAAATAAATAATGCCTAGGAGGCCCAGCGAAGGAGAGGACTCCACTTGTGCTAGGTGCTGTACTCACCCAAAATGAAAAGATAACCCATGCCGCAAAGAATTTGAAGCCTATAAGCTGGATCCTGCTGTTGGATCAGCAGGGCCAATCCCTCTGTCTGTGAGGAAACCTTCTCGCAGGGCTGGAGTTTCAGGCCAGAGGCCTTTGATCATAACAGGAGACAAATGGATGCAATGAACAGAGGCAGCACACGGTAACAGTGAGATGATTATGTCACAGCGGTCACCATGTCACGGATTCCATGGTTTCCATAGATTTCTGTGACATTTTCTACTTCAGTCCTGGGGTGGCAGGACAGGCGCTGACAGCCAGTGGCCCCAGCTCTGAGCTGTCATGGGTGGCGGTGGGGAGGGGCACAGCTATGAACGGCTGCAGGTGGCGGGGAAACCACACAGCTCCCAGCCGCTGCTGCTGGCGGATGCTGGATTCCCCCTCGCCTCATCCTCAGCAGAGCTTTCCCCTGTCAGCCCCATTTTGTCTCCGAAATTTTGAGCAAATATAGGGGAACAGACCAGAGTTTTCACTGAACTTTTGTTTATTGCCCGTGACCTATCCATGAAATCACTTAAAATATCCATGGTGAGATCTTAATGCGAATGGCAGCAAATAGTATAATTAATGGTTACTATACAAATTTAATAATTAATTGGTAAGCACCTAGACAATAACAGGGTTATGAGCAATAGCCAGCATTGATTTATCAGGAGCAAATCGAGCTACACAAACCTAATTTCCTTTTTTGACGGCGTTACTGGCCCAAGGGCTAGTGGGAAAGCAGCAAGCATGATATATCTTGATTTTTTGTAAAGGGTTTCTGTCACAGTCCTGGATGACATTCTCATAAGCAAGCTAGGGAAATGTGGTCTATATAAAATTACAAGAAGGTGGTTACAAAAGTGGTTTCAAAGGGTAGTTATTAATGGTTTGCTGTCAAACTGAGGAGAATGAATTTAGTGGGGTCTCACCATGATCCGTCCTTGCAAACTGGAGTAAGAGAGTATGCTTATAAAAGTTGCTGCTGACGCCAAGCTGGGGGGAACTGCAAGCCCTTTGGAGCACAGGATGAGAATTCAAAATGACCTTTGCAAACTGGAGAATTGATCTGAATTCATAAGATGAAAATCAATAAAGAGAGGTGCCTCGTGCTTCACTCAGGGAGGAAAAGTCAAATACACACAAGAATATGGGGAGTGGCTCGGCAGGAGTTCTGCTGAAATGGATCAGTGGGTAACAGAGGATCTCAAACTGAAGAATCTACAACGTGACGCCGTTGGAAGAAGGCTAATACACGGGGGTGCTTTAGCAGGAGTGTCATATGTAAGCCAGAGGAAGTAACTGCCCTATTCTATTGACTACTAGTGAAGTCTCAGCTGGAGTACTGTGCTCTTGATACATACTTGAGAGAAGATGTGGATCAATTGGAGAGAGTCCAGAGAAGAGCAACAAAACTCATAACAGGTTTTGAAAGGATGGCCACTGAGGAAAGGTAAAAGAACTGAGGATGTACAGTCTGGGGGAAAATACTTGTGGGAGAGGGACACCTGATAACAATCCATGAATGCGTTAAGGGCTGTTATCAAGAAGATGCTGATCAATTGTTGTCCATGTCCACTGAAGATAGGACAAGAAATAGGATTAATCTGCAGCAAGGGAGATTTCAAGCAGATACTAATTACAAGGATAATTAAGCTTTGGAACAGGCTTCCAAAGGAGGGTGGGAAACCCCCATCATTGAAGTTTGATAAGAACAGCTTGCACAAACCCCTGTCCAGGATGGTTTAGGTTTACTTGGTCCTCCCTCAACATGGGGGGCTAGCCGGATGACTTCTTTAGCTCCCTTCCCACCCAACATTTCTATGATAAGCAGTGGTGTCAGCACACTAGTAGTGTAATTGTTTGGCACTTCAACACATTCTAGCCACTCAGATGCTAGTGGAACTCAGAAATGACTATGTAATGTATTGCTCTTGTACAATAACACTTATCACTTCTGCACGGCTTTGCACTTTTCAAGCTCTGGGTAAAATACAATTTCTCACACCACTTTAGGGCTAAATGATATTATTTTATCCTTGTTTAAAAGAGGGGCATGGGAGACCCAGCAGGGTTTGAAGAAACTGCCCAGTTTCCATTTACAATGGGACTCTTGTTTTACTCCTGGTTTATACTACATAGGAAGATCGAAGTAAGATGCACAACTCCAGCTACATAAATGATGTAGCCAGAGTCCACACAGTAGGAGGTCCCTCCTCCACACAGTGGGAGGTCAATGGGAGTAAATGCTCCCATCAGCTTCCCTTACTCTTTACGAGGAGCAGGAGTACCAGCGCTAATGGGGGCACCGTCTGAGTTTGATGTAGCTGGTCTATACTACATCCACTAAATCGATCCCCGGAAGATTGATCATGGCAACATTGATTATCTGTGTAGTGTAGATGTGCTGTTAGTGTAAGTCAGTGCTACTCAAGGAGAGCCATGACAGCAGAATCAGGCCCTCAGGGAGCTTTGTGTTTTTCACAAATGAGAGAGAGAACACAAAATCTCCCCAAAACATCCCAGAAACAAACCAAACAACCTACTCTGCAGCAGCGATTCCTCTCTCTTCTCTTCTGCCTCACTGGACCTGACTTCATGCTCCAGGTTTCATGACCAGGAACATGTTGTTGTGCTGCTCAGAGTTGATCAAGCTGCCTCCCTCATCATGACAGCAAGACAATCAGACTCCATCCTTCCATTTACTGAGCAGACAGAGCCTAGCACAGTAGGATCTTGCCCTCTCTAGGGGTATGTCTACACTACCCTCCTAGTTCGAACTAGGAGGGTAATGTAGGCATACCGCACTTGCAAATGAAGCCCGGGATTTGAATTCCCCGGGCTTCATTTGCATAAGCGGGGAGCCGCCATTTTTAAATCCCCGCTGGTTCGAACCCCATGTAGCGCGGCTACACGGGGCTCGAACTAGGTAGTTCGGAGGTGTACCGGTAGTTCGGAATAGGAATCCTAGTTCGAACTACCTAGTTCGAGCCCCGTGTAGCCGCGCTGCACGGGGTTCGAACCAGCGGGGTTTTAAAAATGGCGGCTCCCTGCTTATGCAAATGAAGCCCAGGAAATTCAAATCCCGGGCTTCATTTGCAAGTGCGGTATGCCTACATTACCCCACTAGTTCGAACTAGCGGGGTAGTGTAGACATACCCTAGGAGACAGTGTGAGGGATCAGAAGCAAAGTGTGTAACTGACTGGTGAGTCTAACTTCACTGTGAACCATCACTTCTGGGAGCATCTGCTCTTCTTTTTGCAGCCAGCCCTGAATGTGGTACTTTCAGTGAGGGCTTCCCTAGGCACTGGGTCACACTGCGTTTGGTACTTGTGTATCTACTGATAACATTTGCAAATGTAACCTCAACATAAATACTCCAACTCCCCTAGAGGAAGCCCTTCTGTTGACATACATCTGTCTACACTGGAAGTCTTGTCAGTATGGATATGTCTACACTACATGCCTCTGCCAACAGAGGCATGTAAAATAGGCTAACCGACATAGTCAATGAAGTGGGGATTTAAATATCCCCTGCTTATTAAAATAAAAATGGCCGCCGCACTGTACTGGCTCAGCTGATCCTCGGCACAGCACGGCAGTCAAGACGCGGATCGGTTGACAGGGAACGTCTTTGTCAACTGCTCCTATAAACCTTGTTTCACGAGGCATAAGGGAGTAGTCGACAAAGGCGTTCCCTGTCGACTGGTCCGCGTCTTGACTGCTGCGCTGTGCCAACGATCAGCTGAGCCAGCACAGCGTGGCGGGATATTTAAATCCCCACTTCATTGACTATGTCAGGAAGCCTATTTTACATGCCTCTGTCGGCCAAGGCATGTAGTCTAGACCTACCCTATAAGTTCATCACACCCCCGAGCAAAGTAGTTTACTGTCATAAATTTATACTGTAAACTACAGCTTTATTTGTGAGGTCTGAGATGAAACCACCCTCCCAGACACATTATTGTAAACTACACTGGAACCAGTTTATCTCTTTCAGAAGAGCAAACAGCCATCTCAGAAATGCAGGGATTAGAACCTGCAACATGAGTGAGTTTAAGCATCTCATACTTGCTGTTAAAGCTATTACTCCATCTCTGAGCTATGCTAAAGTGCTTCATAATTATAGCCCAATTGCACCAAGATGTACATGCCGTACAATTCAGTAGCAGAGAGTTTACAGATATATAGCTGACTATTTGGAACAGGATAATTTACGCTGTTTCTGTCAACAAGGTTTACATTCAGACTATTCCTCTGTCACTGTTTACTAGACCCTCCATGAATTTTCTTGTGCCCTTGCTAACAGTAAACAGATGGATGTTATCATTTCAGAGTTTTTTTTTTCCAGTGGAGCAAAGGAAATTGAGTTTCTCTCAACAAGTTTGCTTCAAATTGAAAATGTGCAGGATAGATTCATGGGGTAAAGTTATTAATTGAAGTGAGATTTATCCTTCGCCCCACCCAGCAATTTATATGCTTTGAAAATTCATGTTTCACGTGTACTCAATTATCAAATAATTGTGGCTGCACCTAGAGTCTTCAGGCCCTTGTTTACATTAGGGAGTTATTTTGAAATAATCCCCCTTATTTCAAAATAAAAAGCGGAGCATCCGTACTACCAAGTCCATTATTTTAAAATAATGGTCTGCTTATTTCAAAATCTGTACTCCTGCTTTCCTTGGGGAATAACACTTAATTCGAAATAGCGATAGTGTGGATGCTCTACTGCTACTTTTTCAAATGTACAGAATAATTCAAAGTAGTTATTTCCCAGTGCTTCCTTGGGCTCTGAGTTGAGGTAGCACACCCACGCTAACAGAGCCTGCCTTGGACTAATTTCAAGGCTTCCCCGTAGTGGGGACACACTATTTTTTTATTATTTTGGGAGTTGTCAATCAATTTTAGTTGTTTCAAAACAGTTTCCCAGTGTAGACATGTCCCTAGAGAGGGCAAGATCTTACTGTGCTAGAAAAAGACTCGTTTTTCTGTTAAGTATCAGAGGTTAAAACCTTGGGCCATCCAAGTCATAGGCAAAACTTCTATTGACTTCCATGGGGACATTGTATGTGTGTGTGTACGTGGGGTGGGAGATATGCTTGGATTTCCCATT